GCTGATTTGAGGGACTCAAAGTGCTTTACTGCCTCGACACTGAACCTCAAAGTCACCATGATTTTGTTTTTCCACTTGACAAGTGCATCTGGAGATTAATTTGGACAATTGTTCTCCTGATTGCGGCGCAACATAGCGAGCCATATGTGCAATTAACCTTTTTATACCCACACCAGCTTGTCTTTAAACCTGATTACTGGCCTGCAGAGATGGACATAGAGACGCGGAACCCCTCTTAGCCGCTAACAGGACCTCCCTCCCCTCCTTCCCTGCCTGCCTCCTTCATAATCAGCTGCATCCTGCTGCCTCTCGGAGGAAGGAATGTGACACACAATGTGACACAAAATGCACTACGGGCAAGCTGCTGTGTGACTCACTTTCGGACACAACAGCACACACTCCGTAGAAGGAGGCTGTTTAATCTTCTAAATCAATTTTTTTTTTTTTCAGGAATAACTAATGGCATCAGATTTGTAGGATATTTATTGGAACATCTACAAACCACCACAACGCCCTCCCATCTCAAGAAAGACATAAAACCCCTGATTATGTGCCATCTCCTCCTCTTCTGCCGCGGAAAACATCAGCAAACAAAACCGGAAAAGATAAAGCTTTGATGAATGGGGCGTAATTGCTTGTGCGCTTTATTCAAATTGGACGTATGTTGACATTTGGAGACCGTTCAGAGCAACAGGCCACTTCAGATGAGCATTAATCTGATTAAGAGGACGATTTATTTGGGTTTTCGTGCTCAATAGAAACCCCTTCCTGCTCGGCGCACAGCCTGCCAGCAGAGCAGAAGAACCCAACCTCGATGAATGGCCAACAGCTGTGTATATAGAACGAGTACATTTCCTCTCGCAAAAAAAAAAGAAAAAACACCCTGTTTCAGTTAAACACTGAGTCACCGCTCACACAGCATACAAGCATTTGAATTTGTATTCTTGCGATATAGTTTGTGCAAATCGGACTTCTCTGTAAACTTGGGATACATTTTGTAAAAAAAAACAGAAGGTTGGAATCATATTAGCAGTCTGAGAGGTAGGTGTATATTTTTAGGGGTTCTTCAAGTTTCTTCTAATGTTCCTAATTGAACTCCTAAGAGGGTAATGCCATTTCAATTTGATTCAAAACGAGACGGCTTTTAGGAGACGAGCGTTCGGAGCCAAGGCAACTCTGCTTGTGTGGAAATTTGTGACGCTGATCATAGCTCAGGCATGGAACATGTCGTAAATTATACCCATACAATTTCCACGTGTAAAAACCGGCATCTGTTTCTGGCCATGTTTGCCCCGTGGAGCATTACATATATTTTTTTGACAATATTTAAATATCCAGCATAAATTTTATCCATTTTATTTGCTATTAAAACAAGACAGATTGTCCAAATCTAAAAACGAATATTGTTCTGAATATAAAAAAAAGAAGAATTTTTATCGCCGTGGGTTTCAGGTCGAGAAACGTAAAGCTATAATATTGGCAGTAAAGATGTCTCCTCTAAACTGACAGCTCCCAAACCTCAGTTCATAAACCTGTCTAGAGATTATGTGCATGGCTGAGACGCGCAGTCTAACTACTTGGCCAGCTCAGCGATGGAAACAGTTCCTGCACGACTATATTCTCACTGTTGATGGTGCATGTGAGAACGCACAAGTCTACGGTATGGTTTATACATTTCTGTGAAACAACAATCACACGCAGATAATTCAGCCGCTCCTTGCTCGGCCTCGCCTTGGCGCTCAGTTCCCTGACAGCTCCCTGAGAATTTATTTTAACATGCAAAGCAAAGTGCAGGAACATATTGACAGTTTGTGTGTGTGTTTGTTCTCCCTTTTAAAAAAAAACAAAACAAAAAAACTAAAACCCCAACTTTGCAATCCAAGATTCCAAAAAGGCTGCGTCAGTGTAACCATAGTGCTGCAATTTGGATAAACGGCGAAGATGAAAGCCGAATTACGTTTTTACATGCCTTCTAGACTGCTTGCACATTTTTCTAAATGTCTGGGTATGTAATTACACACTAAATGCTGTGTGTGTGTGTGTGTGTTTTTTTTTTAAAGGAAGTATATGTGGCTGCACAAACATTACACCAGACTCAAAATGGGCACGTTTGCACCGGGCACGCCCCGGAGTTAGAGCCCCGACCCAGACGCCACTGATGACAACAGGGGTATTAGACTAATCAATGGTCTTTATCGGTGCTTATTAACTTTTTTTTTAGCTTAATAAAACAGCGTGTGACCCCTTCATCACAGATTTATTGTCTAAGAGTTTAGTAAATGTGATTTTCCTTTCTCAGGCTGTTTCATTTCAATTTGAATATCTGGCTGCTTTTAAAAATGTTTCCACTTCATGTGACTTTATCACTCCAAGATTTAAGATTTAAGAGTTTTTATGCTCTAACATTATGTGCAATGTGACTATTGTCGAGGCTGTGCAATAAATGAACAATTCTTTAAAACAAAAAAATGAAAATTTGAAAAAAAAAGTCTGAATGTCATAAATAGAAGTAGAAGTCTTTTCAACCTTTCAGAGAGAAATGTAGTTTCTACTCATTCATATCATGAAACTTACTGAATTTGATTTAATTAAAAACATTTCATCATTTGAAATAAAGTTTAAAACTCCCAGTTACATAAAACCCCTCAAACAGCTGTGACATTAAATGCTATTTACAAAGCAACAAATCAAAAAGAAGCCCGTGAAATTATTCCTTTTTAAACTTTCCTGGCCACTTTTATTGCACTGTGAGTATATTTTTCTATGAAAGTGATATTTTCAACATGTGATTTTACTCATAGGAGGAGTTTTTTATTGCAGTATTTTCATGTTTTACTCTGACATTTTCCTAAAGTGATATTTAGAATTTTAGATTTGTTTTTCTTGTAATACTTTATTTTTAAAGTCTGTTTTTTTCTCATTTGGATCTAATTCTCTCACCAGTGGGTAACACTATCCACTAAATCTAAAACTGCAGACTTTAAGAGGGGGGAAAAGCACTGTTTTGTATGGTGAAACGTCCCCTTCATCCCCATTAATCACGTCTGACCCCTCAGGTTTATCTTGCGACCTCTGGGTCTGGACTGACGGCTTGGAAACAGCTCTGCAGTTAGAACGACGCCTGAATAATGGCGTGAACACAGAAATACGTAAGCGGTGCGCTCACAGGAACTCCAGCAACTTTTTGAGCACAATTTGTCATGAAAACTCAGAGAACATAACTTTTTCTTTTTTCATTATTTTAGCGGTTTTAATAGGCAAGTGAAGCCGCTCGACCCCTGTGAGGGAATGCTGGATGTCATCACGGTTGGTTTGAGGGGGTTGAACATCTCTCCAGTGTCAGAGGAGACAGAGAAAAGACACGGGGTGTGATTTGTTAAATGCGGGACACCCCCCTTTGTATTGTTTCGACAACACGGGGGGACATCTGGCACCAGCAATGCAGCCCAGTGTTGAGGTCTCCATCCGCTTTCTCGAGCAGTGAGCTGTGCAGCATTGAAGCACTGCCTGCACATTCTCATGCTAATACCCAAAAGGCTGGAGCAGATGTGAAACATTTGGTTCTGTTCTTGTGCACTTGTAAAGAAGTAATGTGCCCCGTTATCATTATTTCACTTTTTTTGTTCTTGTATGTGTCATAAAAAGGAGTTCATGGCGGAGGCCATCTTCTTTGGTGGCCTCGGTCGGGCTGCATGTGGCCCGTCAGCGGCAGAGAAAGCCAGCGAACATTTGAGGGATAGTTTTGGCTTCTCAGGAGAGGCTGCTAAAGTTATTTTTGGGGCTGATGCACTGAGCAAACATCTAGAAAATTACCTCTGCAAGCATGACAGCAACCGTTGCGTGTGTGTTTGGTTTCATGTGTGTGTTTGCAGTTTGTGTGTGTGTGTTATAATTAATCAACACACTTGATGATGTGAATTCAACTGTGTTTGTTTCAGTTCATATTGTATATGTTCTTTTTGTGCACAGGCTCCAGCAGATATGTTCAAGAACTATGGCTGAAAAAATAACGTTTGAGCTTAACATTAAAAATGTACTTTTGTTAGAAGTTGTAAAAACTTCTATTTTAAACTCCACTGAGTTGGGGGAAAAAGCTTCTCCTTTACAATTAGAAGTACTTTTAATTAACCGTCTGAAACTGTCCAGTCATGTTATGAAGCATTATTAGATTTGAAATCCTGAACTCAAGATGAAGGAAAGTTATCAACTTTATTTCATAAAGTCAACATTATTATGTGAAACCAACCCATCAAAACAGTGTTAGCAACTTAAAAGATGCATCTAAACCAGCAAATTAGATTTGTTTTTAAATCTTACAACCATGCATTAAATTAAGAAATAGGACAGTTGGATTACATTTTATAACTGTGAACATCTCAATTTAAATATAGGTTTAAATCAGCAGAAGCAGACAGTTGAGTTGTTGTTACACATAATAGAAATTTGAAGATGTGTTTGTGTTATTTGTGCATCACTATAATGTGTATGTTTTTGTCCATGCAGCATTTCCTTCCCCCCCTGCAGGTGATTCTATCCTTGTTTTATACATAGAGATGCCCTTTAATTTGGCTGAACCGGGCTGTGTTGGTGCGCACACGCCCACCCGGAACACCATTGGCTCCTGTTTGCTTTCCTCCTCATCTCATTGGCCAGAGAGCTGCCTGTCAAGAAACTTGACGTGCGAGACAAGTTTACAACTCTATACACGTGCGGCTGGTACATCAGGGCTTGTGGTGGCATCCTGCGCACAGGCTGCATCACCTGCGTGCGTAAATCTCTGCGCGCTGCCTGGAAACAGCTTGTTATTTTCGGCCACTTCTGGGTTTCCTGCTTTCCTCACCTGTTCGCTGCAGGTATCACTTTGTGGCGGAGACAGAGGTGTTTTGTCCACAGTGCGCTTGTGGATGAAGACTCGGTCCTCAGTTTCTTCATGGCTAGAGGACTCGGTGATGTGCGCCTAGCATGGCTGAGGCTCCTGCGCCGACCACCCAGGGACCGGTATGGCTTTTAGCCGCATCAGTAGGCTGGACCCCCCGTCCCGAGGCATCTTCAGGAAAGCGGTGGTCATGCTGTGCTCCCTCCTCGCCTCCCTCATCCTCCTGCACCTCCTCACCGAGCGCTGCGCCACCACAATCACCTCCACCTCGCCCTCACCGCTCAAATCCTCCTCATCCTCCTTCTCCGGCCGGGCTTTCGAGGACTTGAGTCCGGTGAGGAGCAAGAGACTGGCATACGAATGGAGCGCCGGCTCGGAGCTGGGGGGCTACGGGGCCGCTCGGCGCGCCTCCTCACGCGTCCTGGCGGATGAGCGCGCGCGGCAGGTCCTGGAGCTGCCCGGAGAGTCGCTCCTGCTGCCAGCTCCGGATTTAGTGGCTTCCAGGAGAGTTCCTCCCAGGTTCGCAGGTAAACTCAGTCCGCTCGGGGAGGGGAGCAAGAAGCTTCCTCAGGCTCTCATCATCGGGGTGAAGAAGGGAGGCACCCGGGCTCTGCTGGAGTTCCTGCGGGTTCATCCGGACATCAGAGCCGTTGGAGCGGAGCCGCACTTCTTCGACCGCAACTATGACAACGGACTGGAGTGGTACAGGTGAATATTTATCAAATTAAACACACACAGAGACAAGCCACACCACCATACAAACATCAAACATTTTAATATTGTGCATACCCATGTCAAACTGAGAGATTAGGATATTTAAAAACAAATCCCCCTTAAAATCTTGGCTTCACATCTGCTGTGTTTTCAGTCATTTAATTGTCATCATGATGAATTGTGTTTTCCCAACTTTTTTTATTTACCCTCCTACTTCATCACCTACCATAAAGATTAGTCTGCATAACCCAGAAATCTTTATTTAACATCTCAGTTGTTTCTTGTTTTTTTTCCAGAGGAGGCCTAATAGCTGCTGGAATGAGCACAGCGCGGACAAGCCTGTTGATTTATTAAAGCCACATTAGGCCTGCTTTCATTAGATCTTATCAGGCTGCTCATTTTGTTTGCACATTTTAAGGATGACTGCCTTTTAAGCCGCTTTGGCCGCAGCGGAGTCGCGGTTTACAGCTTGATTAGGCTGGGAAATAAGATAGAAAGGGTCAATTAAAGAGTTAAAACATGGAAAGAAATTGCAATTACGTGTTCCCTGTTGAGAGACAGTTTCTGCATAATTTCACATCAACTTTTTAAAAAAATGAGTAGTTCTAAAAGTGCAAAACTTTTTCCGCAGGCGTTTTAAAGATTTATTTAAATGCGTTTGTTGAATTAAATACAACTTAAATTCCAGTTGCTACTACAAATTAATTATTTAATTATAATGTATGCACGTCTGTTTCATTGTCAACTCCACAGAGAGAATTCTATGTAAAGGAAGCGTCTTATTTGAATAGCAAAGCGAGGTTTTGTTTTTATAAAAACCCAGACTTAATCCTCGCCGAGTATTAGGAAAGTGCAAAACACTTCATTAACAAAAGCTGAAGTAAGAGCAGCTTACGGAGAACAAATAGATTTTCAACAGTGTTTTGTGTTAAGTGCATTTTAAAGAGCGGGTTTTTTTATTTTTATATCAACTTGTGAAGGTGGAAAAGTTCACAGCCTCACCATTGTTTATTGCAAAAGAGTCTTGAATTCACAGAATCATTTCCATGTCTCTCCTGACAAAACTTTAGAGAAACGCTATAAACACACACACACACACTCCTCCAGCGTCTCTGGAGTTATGCTGCGTTCTTTTTTTTCTTCTTCCTCGCTCAAGTTGACTTTTGTGATTGATTTCATGTGTCACCGCGAGTGTGTGTGAGTGAGTGTTGTGTGTTCACATTTCCACAGGGCCTGCGGGGAATAATGGCTCTTCCTCTCAGTGGTTCTCTGTCTAATGGGGCATTGCCGACATTGCAGCTCTGTTATTAAGAAGGATTAGGGCCATAATGAAAGGTTACCTGAGTGTCTCGGGAGGTATAATTCACCTTTTGATTGAGTTAACACCACACACAGCACCCTCTAAAAGCCTGGAGACAAAACTTTTACTCTCGCTCACCAACAACTCCCTCCAGACCCCTTCTCACCCCTCTTTTTTTTTTTTCCTCCGCCCTTTTCCGAAACGCTCTGGCTCTCTCCCATCTCCCGCTCACACACCTCCCTCTTTGTGCCTCTCTGAGAGTGAACATTCTCTTTTTGCCATCACTCTTTCACACCCTTCTGTTTACCTATTCATCCATTGTGGGGTTTTATATCCATGAGGGTCCCATCTATCCTGAGGAGTTGCCAAGATTCTCTGGAATTTGGACCGTGCCTCCGAGGACGGACCTCGGTGCCGGGGGTTCGCCTTAATGCTGTCCATTTAAAAAACAGAAGGACCCTTGAATTGAAAAGAGGAATAAATAACTGTTACAACAGCACGGCCCCCTACTCTGCAGGAGTTCATCTCGTCGGCTCTCCTCGACGACTGTCTGAGAGTCTTCCCTGGTGATAGCTTTTGATTGAGCTGCATTCATTTTGCCGGCTTGAGGTCGTATCGAGGCGTAGCTTCAAAAGTGGAAACTAGGTAATCAGCCTGATTGCACCGCTCAACTTAACCAACCACTTGTGCACAATTGTTACAACCTCTGTGCCTTGGAGTCATTTTCATACTTCAAGGCTGTGAGAACAAACTATAAAATAGTACGAAGCAGCTCTGCACATCTTTTTTTGTTTCTTCTTTTTGGTGCAAAACAAGTCTCTGTGACGAATCGCTGTGAATTATGTGATTCCTTTCATTAGCGAAAACACCGAAGCTTCCGTCTCGGGAGACTTTTTTTTTGTTTATCGTCAAGGGCGTTGTGTGTCCTCGACGTGAATCACTCGTCTCTTTCCCCAGTGGGAATGCGTGGAACAAACTTTTACACCTCTTATTGTGACATGGACAACATCTCCGGTCGCCTTTTTTTTTTTTTTTTTTCCCCCCTTTCCAACTTTCCCAGAAATAAACTGGCTTGTTATCGGAATTTCCATCAACTGGCCTAAAAAAAAAAGAAAAAAAGAAGTGGGTTATACACCCAGAGGTATGACGCAAAAATCTGTAATGCACCAAGTAGATAAAAGTTGCAGTTTTGACAACAGGGAAGACTTTGTATGTGTAACCCCACTTTTATATTTCCAAAAACCTCCAAATATTTGTGCAAAAATCCGGCCTCGCCATCTGCATTCATTCACGTCTTGGTTTATATATTTATTCTCAGAGTGTTTTGGGTGTTTCCAGCATGTTGACTCAGCTGAAGTGAAACAGTTTTTGTAACATATTTTAACTAAAGACACATTTTTTTTTTAGCTGTTTGGATGATATAAAATGTCTGGTTTTTTGTCGTGCACGGTTGGTCAATTCAGCTCTTTTGTTACACCAAGGAAACCAACACTCGGTCCGATTGTCCGGTCGGTCAGTGTTACATTTCACTACACATTAGTCTGTATATCCACACACAACCTGTTAAGGCTTTTGTTGTGGAAATGGACACTGGGATTGAACAAGGAGGTCACGCACAAGCACTGTGAAGTAAGGTAGAGGTCTGCGCTACAGAGTAGTCACTATTATGTTTTGGGCCTACTTAGGTTACTGAACACCCAGGCTTTCACCTGTCTAGACCCTGCCGTCGCTGTTTGATGTCTGCAGACCGGTTGGATTAGACTTCACCAGATCCCTTAATGGGTTAATTACCCTTCATAAAAACATATGTGACCCGTTAAACACAAGGCCACAAGCTCCGCCACACACACACTCACATTTAAAACACGAGCAAACACAGCAGTATTCAATGCACACCTCTTTTACAGAAAGCAAACAGGTGTATGGCAGCTTGTGTATCAGCAAACCTTCACTATAAAGCTTCTCTGCAGTGTTCTTCCTCAAGCATGTAACAGCTAAAGCCACGAGAAAGCAAATGAAAACAGCATGCTCGGCTCCAAAAAAGCTGAAAAATCACATTAAATTAGGGGTTTCCCTCTTCATAAAACTGGCTTTATTTGAAAGGAAGTTCTGTAATGGTAATAAAAAAGGAAAAAAAAAAAGAGGGTCTTAATCATAAAAGCAGTGACCCAATGGGGACTTGTGCTAGAAACCGGCCGTGTTTTGTAGCCTGAATAGTGCTTAAGCGCAGAACAAATGGGGGAGATTTTAGCTCTGTTTTTCAAAAACAATTCAAGACGGAGCTGTAAAAGTGTGTTAGAATAATACATTTAAATCTCATTAGCATTTTACTCATTGGGCTACTTAGTTGGGGCTTGTTGACACAGTTCCATTTAATGACAAAAAAAAAAGGAAAATAAAGTCACATTTGCTGGTGTATTCCCCCAACGTTTGAAATGAGGCCCGCTTCCAACTTTCTCATACGTTGGCTGTGTTCACAGAGGGTGTTGTTGTTGAATTGAGTGGCAGACTTTAAACTCTTGTTTAGCTGCTGCCTGATATTTCACTTTGTCATTCCGAGTGTGGAGAGGTTTAAGGAGGAGCTGCGGAAAGAATGACTCCGAATGGGAGAGGTTAGATGTCAGGCGGTGGGGAATTAAACTGAAAACATCTTCAGTTGTGTGTCAGTGAAGTTGTGGCGGTCGGTCTTGTGTACCTCCGAACCGCAAGTTCCTGGAAATTGTGCAAAAACGGCACAAGTTCTTGACGTATATGTTGTGTGGCTACGTCAGGTTTTCATGATGAAAATCAAACCCCAGCTGGAACCAAGCAGAGCCCAGATCTAGCAGAGACCCGTGTACTGTACGCTATGTGTCCAATACGTATGTCAACCTGTAAGTACCTCCAGTTTGCTTTTGGCACTCGCTCGCTTTCTGCCCTTGCCAGGAATACAGGAATGACATGTTCCTCAGAGTTTTAAATAGAGCGAATGAGTTGAAAATAGTCTGTATATCAACGCTGAAATATCTCTCGCTTATCTGAATTTATATCGTCATTTTAACCATAAACACGAGCAACATCCTGGAATCATTTTTTTGCCGGTGCTGAGTCGTGCAGCCTTTAAAAATGTATCTCCGTGGTCTCTTTACAGAAGCTTTGAAAGCAGCAATTTGTTGTATCCTTTCTCTGAGGTGCAGTCAAGATTTTAAAAACAGATTTCCTCTAAATGATCCCCTCTTTTGATTTATCCTGTTTTGACACTGAGTTGGAAAAGCAGGAATGATTTATTCGTCAAGGTCCCTAGAAAACGGTTTGGGATGGTCATTTTTTAATGTAGTTAGAGCAGTTTGGTAATGGAACCGGAGGTAGGGTTTATTCTGTACAGAGAGGTTTTATACACTGGGAGGAGATTTCTGATATATTAAACTTGCAGGTTTACCTCCAAGTTTAGAATTGAATCCTTTCCAAAGTAAACCTTACACAACCCTAAAGTTTATTTAATGTGTACCTGACTTTGTAAGAGAAAGGTGGAATTAAAGCGTTAACCCTGTGAACCCCAAAGCATGCTGACGGGTTTAAAGCACATAAAAAAATATTAAAATCACTAAAATTATACCATTTATCAGAGTTTGAAACTGCAAAAAAAGGATTAGTTATTACATTTTTAACTTTCTGATGGTTCCTAAACTAATTTTGTCTGGAAAAATAATCAAAT